GCATGGTATTTAATTTTTTGAAGCTCGAAGTTTTCTGGAAAGCATGGAGACAGAAGAGAATTTCACAAGCGAGAAGTGCGATAAAGAAAATGCTAGCATAGAACTTGCGGCTACATCTTGCCATCTTAACTGTAAATTGATGATATCTCGTCGTCGCCAGTTTAGCACTGCGCTTAAATTCATAAAGTCTAGGTACCATAGGGAAGAGTTCATCGGAACAATTACCATGAAAGTATTTATAGAAAAAGCACAGGAAGCATCTTTTAAAGGCGATGGGAAAATGACTGAAGCCGAGATGCCAGATCCAGATCAATAATATTGCTGATTCATCTTTGCATCTTATCAATGAGCTCTAGGTAAATAGCAGGGGGCTCAGGACCATATGTGGCAGCAATATTCTAAGCGTGGTCGAATGGTTTATAGATTTGTAAGATAGATTCTGGAGGTTTATATCGATTTTTAAAACGTATTTAATCCATATAATCCTAGAGTTAGTTTCAACTATCACCTTCTTTGTTCCATATATTTAAACTATTCCAAACTATAAATTTAGCAATAAGTACATATCACTGAAATATGTTAGAGAATTTCCAAGTTTTCATATGGAATCAAACAAATATAAATTTTAAGGAAAACTCTTCTAATATACCGGGTGTAACAGCAAAATTGTCCAAACCGTGTAACAGCAAAATTGTCCAATTGTTAGATTAAACTTTGAACCGTTGTATCTTAGAAATTATTAAAGAATTCCTAAATATTACTAATGAGCGGTAAGGGGAAGTTTATCGTGAAAAAGACGCTAAGATTTGCCATTGTAATCTTTGGTCCCACCAATTTTTTAAAACGTATTTTAATCCATATATTATATTGCTGATTCTTCTTTGCATCTTATCAATGAGCTCTAGGTAAATAACAGGGGATCAGGACCATATGTGGCAGCAGTATTCTAAGCGTGGTCGAATGGTAAACTTATAGACATGTAAGATAGATTCTGGAGAGAAAAAATTGTCTAACACGATTTCTCTATTTTATTCACTATACTATTCCACTATCACTATACGTTGATTACTATTCGAGCGAATATTATCGATCAAGTACTATTAGTGCGAGTGATATTCGAAGGCGTCTGACACCAGCATTATTCAACGGCGTTACTATAGTTGTATCTGCGATTACAAAGTCTCTACTACAATCCTCAAGACGAAAGTGACAACGAGTATTCGTTGACATCACAAAACTGTCAAACGAGTGTTCGTTGACATCACAAAAGAAACATTACGGAGCGAGAAGAATAGAACAGTAATCAGGAAGACAGTAGATAGCGATTGACATTGCATTTAAATTTTGGATGATCAAAGTGAACTGGATAGTATGAAGCCGGAAGAGAGTTCCACAAGGAAGAAGGACGAAAAAAGTAACTGTTAGCATAGAATAGTTACATCTAGCCAGCACAAATATAAATTGGTGACATCTGGTTACCAGTCTTGCATATCTAGCCAATTCGACTGTAAATTGATGAAACTTTGCCGACAATCCAATACTAAGCTTAAATTCATAAAGTCTACGTACCATAGCGAAGAGTTCCTCCGAACAATTACCATGAAAGTATTTATAGAATTGGCAAAGAGAAGCTACATTATGGCGGTGGCAAATAATATTGACGAATCTTCTTTGGATTTTATCAAGAATCTCTAAATATAGAGCTGGAACACTGGCCCAGATGTGGCAGGAATATTCAAATCATGGACGGATGGTAGACTTATAAATATGCAAGATAGATTTTGGAGAGAAAAAATTATGTAGCACATCACAAAGATCTGACTTTCTAAACAGCAGATCTAGCAATGGATTTCGACATAGTCCTCCCATAATAGATCAGCTGAGGATAACAGACCGAGAAAGCGCAACGTGGTACTGTAAATGAGGGTAGCGTCAGACATACTGATGGCAGATAGGAAGCCGTCTTACAGGTGATTAATAGTTCGTTCCACTGGCGTTAAAATTAACAAGCCATTCTTTGCCCCAGTTAACAACAGTCTGTAGGTCATTTTTTAGATCACCTGCAATAAAACGAATGACCGTGTCGAACTGACCAGACTTACTATGGAGATAGATCTATCAATAAATTCAACATAATCTTTACACTTCTGGAGGGTAGCATCAGCCATACAGATGGCAAGCGGATAGGTGTCTATCAGATTGTTAAAAATAGAGATAAATTTCGTTTTGGAGTCTTTAAAATTATCAAGCCACTCTTTGTCCAAGTTAACAATAAACTGGAGATGGTTGTTGTCAGCATATATACCAAGATGAGAATTTGCAGTATAAGTCACAGGTAGACTGATATTTAAGCGGGGTTTTGTAATAGGGATTTGCTAGCCAATCAGGCTAATAGAGATTTTTAGCTTAAATGTTGCATAAGGCCGATAGTAGGGGGCACCCAGTGAAGATCGAAATTAATACTCATTCGTAATTGATCTATCGAGACAAGCTTGCTCGCCATTACACCGCCTCGAGGTCCCGTCGCCAGGCTGATAGGTGCACTCGAAAACGAGTAGGCGGCTATATAGAGCTGTGTATTTTGGCAGCAAACCCTCTTTAATACATGTCTGGTTGAACAAGACTATTTTTTTTATATATTTTCTTTTTAATCATATATTCTTTGTATAGGTTCAAGACTATTCTTTTCATGACTTGATTAAAATAAAAATTTTCCAAATGTTTGTTGGTCCCGTGACCATTCGGAACAAGCAATGTTTTGTTTTTTTTATTATACTAATATAATAAATCGTGTTTAAGTGCTATTTAGTGGGCCACGTGTACAAAATACGTTCCACTCAACACCCACGTATCATTCTGCTTGGTGAACTGGACAGTCGCAAGAGGCGACGAGAATGTGCAAAACGACGCTTCAAGGAACAGTTGTAGACGTCCCAGACACAGGCCAACATCGACCTTGAGATCTGGGAAATCGTTGCTTCAAATCGGCCTTCCTTGTGTACGACCATCCGAGCTGGAGTAGAGCAAGACCTTTGAGTCTAATCTCAACGTGAAGAGGAACCGCAACATGCTGTTAGGAGGGCACGACTCGCCAAGACATGTCTATTACCCACACTCCTTCGGGACTCTTCATGAGTAGGTTGGGTCTTCACAGGCGTCTCTGCAACCGCCGTCAGAGACGAGACACGGAATAAAGACAGAGGATTACGGTCCCGAAGGTCAGATGTGAGCGTGTGCCAGCTACGATTGTTATTGTAGGCAATATAAAAGGTACCGCATGTAAATATATTCTTCATTTCAAATATTATGGCCACATTCATAATGTCATTAAGTACTATTTTCAAGATTTATTGCATACTAGCAGCATGGCCCGGCGTTGCCCGTGCTTGATTAAAAAATCGTACGACTCATACAGCGATCGCTATCACTTGACTTAAAATATTTTTGCCCTTCCTTGCCTTTAAAGAAGTGCCCTTTGCCGTGCTGATGTTGCTATATGCCTTACTTCTTGCCTATCTCACACTGCGAATTTTTTCTAAGCTCTATACTAAACATTAAATCTGTTACGAAAAAAGAACTAAACAAAATGAACACAAAATGATCAGCATTAAAAAAGGACTCGTAACTGGAAAAACCGAATGAAAAAAGAATGTTAACAACAAATACTTTTTCACACCCAACCCAGTTCTGCAGAATCAGAATCAACGTTGAGTTTAAGCAAGCAAATGAGCCAATTGGAGTAAAGAGTAGCTATCGATAATTTTGGCATGGTAGTTAACATTCGTGTCAGTCAGCTGTTGGCTCTCATGCTGGCCAATAGAATCTTCCTGCCTATTCGTGGCAACCAGCTATTGGCTCTCACTTTGTCCAGTAGAAAATGTCCGCAAACTACATGAAAACTGCCGTAGAGCATGAAAAAATCGATTATTTCCACTATCGATGGGAGTTTGGAAATGCAAAGTCGGCATTGGCCTTCCCGCTAACTTTGAGCATGTGCATGTAAATTTTGGTGCAAATACGTCGACAATTGCGGCCGTGCATTCATTACACACACACATAGATTTATAGATAGAGATAAAACACAATTGTGGCACATGGCCTAAAAGTTAGAAATATGTTGAGGCTGATCGTCACTTACAAGCTTATTTACTACTTAATTAGTCAGATTCACGACCCCTCCTATTGTTGCACGACAACTCATTCACCAGCATTCAATCCTCCATACACCATAATAACGAATACATCCAGGGAAACTATAAAACGCACCTCATGTCATAAAAAATTAATTAGCATAAAAATTCTATATATAAAATCTGTATCTGTCTATATTTCTGAGATGAGGTATTATGTACATTATTTACATTATTCGGACTATTGTCCTCATCTTTATCGCCATATTTATTACAACGTTTCGGCCTTTCAGTATCTGTCTATATTTCTGAGATGAGGTATTATGTACACTATTTACATTATTCGGACTATTGTCCTCATCTTTATCGCCATATTTATTACAACGTTTCGGCCTTTCAGTATCTGTCTATATTTCTGAGATGAGGTATTATGTACACTATTTACATTATTCTGACTATTGTCCTCATCTTTATCGCCATATTTATTACAACGTTTTGGCCTTTCAGTATCTGTCTATGTTTCTGCGATGAGGTATTATTTACGCTATTTATATTATTCCGATTATTGTCCTCATCTTTGTTGCCATAATTATGACAACGTTTCAGCCTTTCAGTATCTGTCTATATTTCTGAGATGAGGTATTATGTACATTATTTACATTATTCGGACTATTGTCCTCATCTTTGTCGCCATATTTATTACAACGTTTCGGCCCATCAGTATCTGTCTATATTTCTGAGATGAGGTATTATGTACACTATTTACATTATTCGGACTATTGTCCTCATCTTTGTCGCCATATTTATGACAACGTTTCGGCTATATATATATATAGAAAGAGATAGATACATATGTATATACATAGATACTTATATATAGATAGATAGATACATATATATATATATATATAGATATATAGATAGATAGATAGATAGATACATTTATATATATAGATACACACATATATATATATAGATAGATAGATAGATAGATAGATAGATAGATACAT